ATAACTATAATGCATAGATTCGTCCAGTGGCGTAGGCAGGGGGGGGGGGGGTGGGTTATGGGGGTATATATATAAAAAGTATGAGGGGGGGTGCAAATCGAAAGTTTGTACCCTGGTAAACATTGGAGCCCCCCCCCCCCCCCCCCCTTGAGACAATTCTGGCTACGCCACTGCATTCGTCTGTGAACTAACTGTAGTGAAGTTTAGAGACTACAGCCTATAGGCTACAGATTATAGACTACATGTCTATAGACTATAGGTCCATAGACTACAGTCTATAGACTACAGTTATATAGTCTACAGTCTACGATATAGTGTAATAAAGCAAGTACAACTACTCTGATTATTTGACTAAATATAAAATATAATACATAGAATCATCTGTGATCTAACTATATTAAAGTTTATAGACTACAATCTATAGAATACAGTCTATGATAGAGTGTAATAAAGCAGGTACAACTGCTCTGATTGTTTGACTAAATATGAAATACGTGAACATAACAGAATTCTCTAGATGTAGCCTAACTCTTCAGTTCTAAACATTGTAATTTAAATGATGAAATAGTGTTTAATGTGTAAATAGCATTTGAAAAATAAGTTTCTAATGATAGACTTCAATGTACAGCTGCTGTTTAAATGCAATGTTTCTATCTGGAACCTCTCGGGCGAAGTAGAAAAAAATATTATATTAATTTAATTAATTTAATTTAAAAAATTAATTACAATCCCGTGTGTAAATATACACATATCTACAAATTACGGTGAAAAAATACAAATGTAGAACAAAAGGTACAACTGCTTGTCTAAATTAACAATAGTTGTTCGAGAACTAAAATTGTGGGTGTTATCATAAAAAATTCAACAATTATTCATGTAATTTAATTGCTTATTGTCTGGCAGTTTTAAAATTTAAAAATTAAAATGTACCAACATACAAAATCAACGGACCAGTACATATTTTCGCCACCCCAGTAATCTTGAGCTTAAGTGTCAAACATAGGCGGGTGTTACACGGTGCTGTCCCCCTGCCCAGCCTTGCGGTGTTTGACTAAACGTTACGGCCAGAGTTTCTTTCAAGGCCCCCCCCCCCCCCCCCGGGAAAAATTTTACCCCCCCCCCCCCCCCCGAACGAAATGAAATTTATATAATTTATATAGAAAATATATACTTTTAACAGTGTCCGCCCCCCCCCCGAAGAAAGTCTAACGCCCCCCCCCCCCGAAAATTTCAAGTGCCCCCCCCCCCCCCCTTCCCGGATAAAAATGTCTGGAAGAAACAATGGTTACGGCTTATCATTGCTACGTTGGATGATTTGATATATCTACATGTCTAAATGAGAGAAAATAACCAACGCATCTCTATATTATTTTTTAAACCATTGAGAGTTGATTTCTGCAGAGTTTTATTTTCACATCTTGTTATTTTGATTTCATGTTTTCTTTAACATCTAAACAAATTGTCAATCCATTTAAAAAAGTAATATAAAAATTTAGGAGAAATGTTTTTTAAATCAATAATTGTATTGAATCACAATATATTAAAATGTCAGTTACAAACAGATTAAACGCTCATAAAATGTAAATGTCAATTGGATAACAGTGAATACCCTCCCACACGTTTTGGGTTAGGGAAATCGATTTTTTAATTGATTCACTCAATAACAAGCGCCTATAGTTTATATGATTAACAAAACTAAGATGGATGATTTGTTTACGGTGTATTAAGTGAATTCTTCTAGCATAAGGGACCATTTCATTTCTTATATCAAAACGGGACGTTTGCAGAACACGCTCATAGTCAAATATGTATCAATATATAAAAAAATAAATAAATGAATTAAAAAAAAAAAATATATATATTTATATTTATATATATATATATATATATATATATATATATATATATATATATATATATATATATATATGTATGTATATATATATATATATATATGTATACAAATATAATATGTCTCTCTCTTTCTCTCTCTCTCTCTCTCTCTATATATATATATATATGCTATACAAAATACATTATATTTATATACACATTAACATATACATATATATATTATATATATATATATTATATATATATATATATATATATATTATATATATATATATATATTATATCTGTTTTACCATATATATAAATATATATACATTAATTTGTATATGTATATATATATATATATATATATATATAATCATATAAATTATATATATATATATATATATATATATATATATATATATATATTATATATATTGCTATACAAATACATTATGTTTATAAAGATACACACACACATTAAAGAACAACATTTAGCAGTTATCTCTTTTACCCTTGTAGCTGAGTGCATGCTATACATGTGTGTATATGTTAGTACATTAAAAAGAAATATTACTTTTAAGGTCTGACTTCTTGTGGTGATGGCTAGAGATGAGATGTACAACACGTCAAAAAAAAAAAAGCAAGACATAATCAAATAATTAAATTCTCAACGACTCATTAGAAAGATTTCCAAGTCGGGCGACAGATTATTAAGCCCCCGTTGGCACAACCTATTAAAACAGATCTTTTCACATAAATTAATTAAATAACAAAATTTTAATGAAAGTATTAATTATTTATTTTTTTAAATAATTTTTTTGATTAATAATGGCGACTACACATTTGGAGAACGCCCTAGGTGACTGAATATTTTGCCTGAAGTGTCACGCCGTCCCTGGATATTTCCATAATTTCGGTAGCAGAAACCCGTATGAACACACCCCCGTCCGTTGATTGTATGGTGTTTTAGACCATCACGTATGTAGTTATAACACAATGTAATCTTGGCCAGTCATAGCTGCACTACTGCCCGCGATAATAGTTGCTTGATAATAGGTCAAGTGGTGACGACTAGTGTTTTAGGTTGCTCGATGATATTTCATAGTTATTTCCCTTTACTTTGTTTTTACTGTTTTACATATAATTAGTTTTCTTTCTAAGTGTGTATATACTACTATAATACACTATTCAAGTATTTGATTTATAGAACTCAGTATAGAATAGTGTTAGACCATGCAAACTGATACTAAACATTTAAAAATGCTGAATTTATTTTTAATCAACCTAATTATCTTTAATCTTTGAAATATTGTCTAACCTAGTTTTTATGGACGTATGTAAACTAGTTTAAAAAATTATGAAGATAAAATCACTTCACCTAAATTATCTTTGGGTGGTTATCAATGGTCTTGGTTATAATTAGTTCATGACGTCATTGTAAGTAAAATACTAAGTGAGATGATCATCGTTTATCAAAGGGGTCGTCCATAAATGTCGTCACACTCGTAGGGGGGATTGGGGGTCCGTAATTTTGTGACGGTGTGTGATGAGGGTGAGGGGGGGGGGGGGGTCCGATGGTTGGACGTCACACATTGGCAAAAAAAAAAATGTTAGAAAACGAATTTTTGCCGTTCTTTCGCGTTTTAGAAACTGTTTTAATTAATTGTAATAGGAATTGATTAAAATACTCTATGTTGACAAAGTTCAGACAAGATTTTAGAAAAATATCGGATTTTACGAAAAAGTCAACTGCAATTTTGAGGGGTGGGGGGTTGTAAACTGAGGTGTGAAGTCATTTTAGGGGGGCGGGGGGTCTGACTTTTTTGACGATGTGTGACGGAGGGGAAAGGGGAGGTAAAAATCGTCAAAAAAGCGTCACATCATTTATGGATGACCCTAAAGACAAAGGTTAACCGAAGCTCATATACTTATCCTATGTTGGTTGGCATAGAAGTCGTGGAGCGGGGGTGGGGTGGGGCGGGGGAGAGTATTATATGTAAATCTCCCTGAGCATAGACGTACATATTATCATCTGTTTCATTACAATGAAACACTATTGATGACCTCGGAAGAATTCCCTAACCACAACTTGACTGAAGTCTGGTATCCACACCACGACTTGATTGCTGTTCATATCCACATCAAGACCTCACAAAACAAAACAAAATAATAAAGAATATCCGTTTGTCATAGTTGAAAAACTAAGCATAAATACATACAATACAATTTTTAATTTTGTCAGTCTTCGTCGATTTATATATACCCCCATAACAAAAAAATAGTGGATCTTTATGCTTTGACAACGTATATCAGTTTCATAAAAGTGTGTGATAAAACCGAGGTCAACGAACGTAATACACTATCAAATTTAACAGGTGCTTTTACTAGACTTTATAATGACTGATAAACGTTGTACCTCCTCTATCCACGTCTAATACCTGCACATACATGTTTTTAAATAGTTAAAGAAAAGGACGACGAAAATATACATGCATAACATGTATAAATGTAAAAAAATGGTATAAAACGTAGGTCTATATATATAATTGGTACAGGTCATTTACATAAACCAGTATTATCTAAATGATTGTAAGCCATTGAATTGATGTCTGAATATGAAAAGAACTCAAAAGAAAATAGTGTTTCGCATAAGTTTTGGCCTTCTATTAAATGTCGAACAGAGAAAGGGGGTGGAGGCATGTAGCAAAATAATGTAGCCTATTTTGATGCATCTAAGTGTCTAAAATATTTTACTGAACCTAACTCGATCTCTAAACAATAACTACAAACTTTTACCCAAATTCTTCTCCTAATTCAAATTTTCAATTTACTCTTAACCTAAACCTAATTTTAACCTTAGCATTACATTTTGGTTAATGTAAAAGTCTAACTATTGATGTGGTCGATTTGCTACTCCTAATTATTTTAAAACACAAATTTAAAAGTAAATTGAAACATTTAAATAGTTAATTAGTTAGCACTAATTAATCGATTGTTTCCAAATTGTGTGTCAGTGTATGTGTATAAGAAAAATGATTGTAATCTTCACGTCATGTGATTAGACCCAGTGATGTGACATGTGACATACATGACATAATGGATGCCTCGTCTATCAGGTGCGGCGAGAACTAAGTCCACTTTGGATCACTGGGATATTTCACTGTGATCGTGCTTTGATCGTAGTGTGTCGTTAAAGAGTGTGTTTAGTCATTTGTTGATCGCAGTGTGTCGTTAAAGATTGTGTTTAGTCATTTGTTGATCGCAGTGTGTCGTTAAAGATTGTGTTTAGTCATTTGTTGATCGCAGTGTGTCGTTAAAGATTGTGTTTAGTCATTTGTTCGTCATGCTTTGATCGCAATGTGCCATTAAAGATTGTGTTTAGTCATTTGTTGATCGTGCTATGATCATAGTGTGCTGTTAAATATTGTGTTCAGTGATTTTTTTGCCTTACACAACTACAGGTATACGTTATTTGAAATGTGATTTTAAAGTTGTATGCCCGATTTTTATGTTGCGCCGTGTAATCAAAATAATTCAAGCATATCAACTTTTGAACAATCTCTATTGCTAATCATTGTACCTTTCTTGTGGAAATTTGAAATACAGCGTGTATCTGTGTCTTTACTTAAGCACCTTAAATTGGAGTGATTTAAAAAAAAGGGTTTCGTGTCAGTTTTAGCAAAAACCGAGATATTTTATTTTTATATTTAAATTTACAGTATTTATTACTTTTAAGCGTAGAAATATAACAGATATTTCCAGATTTTTTATATATTAAAATCGCCTGAGTTTTTAATCAGCTTAAAATCTTATTTTCACCAGCTTAAATTCCCAAAATTGACATTGATATCTTACTACTTCACTCTTTACATACTGTTTATTATAATATGCCTTTATCTTTACGTTACCTTTACCGGGAAGAAAACAAAAAGTGATATTTTAAATACTTTTCTACATCAGAACCAGCAAGTGTGACTCATGGTTCCCAAGCATCGATTACATAACATCCTTGATGAGTCTCTGGACAGTGCCGGACATAGCTGTGAATATGTCGAATCGTGCACACATACACGGCTCTCGCATACGGAGAGGAAACTTCTCATACACAAGCCACGTATGTTTATACATGTTTTCTTAAGAAATAAAATATAATCTGCTCATATTTTAAGGTAAACACCACATATTCTACCAGTACTTTTCTTACAACTGACGATTTTTCAATAATGTAAATCTGATAATAAAGTGCTGTTTTCAACCTGGGTTTGATTGAACCCCAGGGGTTTAGTGAGTAACTCTCAAGGGTTCGGCGGAGGTCAAGAGACACACCCGACTCATATGATTCAAGATCGGATAGAATTATTAGGAATGTTTCGTAAATGCGCACATGAAACTGGTGGGGTTTGATACCTCCAAATATATTAAAAACCATTGTAATAGACCATAAGCACTACTATCAGAAAAGAAAAACAGATTTTTATGATTGAAACTTTAAAATAGAAATGGGATGGCGTGACAGAGCAGTAGAGACCTCGACTGCAAATCCAAAATGTTATCAAGGTCGGATTCCAAAACCCTTTTACTCTATCCATACACGTAGGCATATATAATTATGAAAATGCATATAAATATATATATATATATATATATATATATATATATATATATATATATATATATATATATATATATATATATATATATATATATATATATATATATGTGTGTGTGTGCGCGTGTGCGCGTGTGCGCGTGTGTGTGTGTGTCTTTAAGTATAAAATGTCTACAGGTTCAGTGGTGTGTAATTGAATGTTAAATTGCACTAAACTGTACAGCTGACAAAAATCGATATTTTAAAACATATCTTATGTTGTCTATTTTTGATTAAAATCAATACACCGACAGTATATTCAATTAAACAGTATTTACATTACACACCGGTTCTTCAAAATTAATGCAATTTTAAAAATGTAATCTCTAAACTCATTTACAGACATCGTTTTTTCAATCAAGTGATTTCAGTTGCAGCATACAGTTCATACTATTTGTTCTCGTATAGCTTTTAAAACGTGCAAAATTGAGGAACAAAAATGGTAGTGTATTCACTTTCTGCTGCGTACCGTATGGTTTCAGAGAGCCTGTCAAGATGCTACATACCTGCCCGTTATGTGCTGGCTGCTTGGTCCTTCCTGGGGTTTATCAACATGTTCACACTCCGGATGGATTTGAACATAGCCCTGCTGGCTATGGTGGACAACACTAACGGCTCGACCAAGTCGTCGAATGGGCTGGCGAGTACAGCGGCAACGTTGGTCAACGTGTCGACAAATGACGTGAGTGTTTGGTTTAAGGTGGAGGGGGAAGTCGACAAATGACGTGAGTGTTAAAATCAGTGGGGGGGGGGGGGGGAGTGTCATCAAATGACGTGAGTGTTTGGTTCAGTGGGGGGGGGGAGGAGTGTCGACAAATGACGTGAGTCTTTGGTTCAAGGGGGGGGGGAAGGGGGGGGGGAGTGTCGACAAGTGACGTGAGTGTTTGGTTCAGGGGGGGAGTGTCGACAAATGACGTGAGTGTTTAGTTCAGGGGGGGGGGGAGAGTGTCGACAAGTGACGTGAGTGTTTGGTTTAAGGTGGAGGGGGAAGTCGACAAATGACGTGAGTGTTTAAATCAGTGGGGGGGGGGGGGAATGTCATCAAATGACGTGAGTGTTTGGTTTAAGGTGGAGGGGGAAGTCGACAAATGACGTGAGTGTTTAGTTCAGTGGGGGGGGGGGAGTGTCGACAAATGACGTGAGTGTTTGGTTCAGTGGGGGGGGGGGGAGGAGTCGACAAATAACGTGAGTGTTTGGTTCAGTGGGGGGGTAGTGTCGACAAATGACGTGAGTGTTTGGTTCAGGGGGGAGTGTCGACAAATGACGTGAGTGTTTCGTTCAAGGGGGGGGGGGGGAGTGTTGACAAATGACGTGAGTGTTTGATTGGGGGGAGTACTTATCGACAAATGACGTGTTTGGTTCAGGGGGGGGGGGGGTAGTAGTGTCGACAAATGACGTGAGTGTTTGATTCAGTGTGGGAGGGGGGAGGACAAATGACGTGAGTGTTTGGTTCAATGGGGGGGAGGAGTGTTGACAAATGACGTGAGTGTTTGATTGGGGGGAGTACTTATTGACAAATGACGTGTTTGGTTCAGGGGGGGGGTAGGAGTGTCGACAAATGACGTGAGTGTTTGATTCAGTGTGGGGGGAGGACAAATGACGTGAGTGTTTGGTTCAGTGGGGGGGGGGGAGGACAAATGACGTGAGTGTTTGGTTCAGTGGGGGGGGGGAGGATAAATGACGTGAGTTTTTGGTTCAGTGGGGGGGGGAGTGTCGACAAATGACGTGGGTGTTTGGTTCAAGGGGGGGAGGAGTGTTGACAAATGACGTGAGTGTTTGATTGGGGGGAGTACTTATTGACAAATGACGTGAGTGTTTGGTTCAGGGGGGGGTAGGAGTGTCGACAAATGACGTGAGTGTTTGATTCAGTGTGTGGGGGGGGGGAGGACAAATGACGTGAGTGTTTGGTTCAGTGTGGGGGGGGGGGGTCGACAAATTACGTGAGTGCTTGGTTCGGTGTGTGTGGGGGGGGGGGGGCTGTGATTTTGTGAGTATATATTAAGATAGAGAGAGAGGTTATAGTGTTTTGATGGGACTGTGTCAATCTAACATTGTCTTAAGATAGAGATAGCTCCATAGATTGTTGTGTTTTGATGGGGTTGTGCCTATTCAAGATTGTGACAGTTTTCATGTAATGTTGTGTGCTAATGTGAAATCTAGATTTGTCAATAAAAAACGATTGTGTCCATATGAAATAGTAAACGATATGAATGGTTTGTGAGTCTGTAGTGTCCATGTGATTGTATACCCTTAGGATAGTGCTATTCAGGATTGTGACACAATTTCATTAAAAATCAGTTTGATTTTGTTTCACGATGTTCAACCATGATTGCAATATTATAGATTGTATCAGTATCCATATAATATATAAAGCATAAAACTGGTTATCAAATAGTTCTGTTTTAGTATTCAGTTGTTTTTTGTTTTTTTTTTACTTTCAAAAAAGTTTGAGATTTAAAAGTTTAATTTGATTTATCTAATTGGCGTTACCAAACCCTAATCATAAACCACGTTTGTATTGGTCAACGTTTGTCCTTCCCTCCAGTCTGGAAAGTTCCACTGGTCAGAGAGGAACCAGGACATTGTCCTGAGCGCCTTCTTCTACGGCTACTGCAGCACCCAAATTCTGGGCGGGTACCTGTCCGGAAAGTTCGGGGCCAAGAACATCCTGGGGGTGGGGATCCTCGTCACCTCCCTGCTCGCTCTCGTCACACCTGTGGCCGCCTTCAGGAGCTTCTACCTGCTGCTGCTCTGTCGGGTCTTGCAGGGATTTGCACAGGTGTGTTTTTTTTTATTATGATGCTTTAATCATGAGTAATTTGACAACGCTTTAGTGTTTTTTTTTTATCATTATGATGCGTTAATCATGAGTAATTTGACAACGCTTTAGTGGTTTTTTTCCTATTATTATGATGCTTTAATCATGAGTTATTTGACAACGCTTTAGTGGGTTTTTTCCTATTATTATGATGCTTTAATCATGAGTAATTTGACAACGCTTTAGTGGGTTTTTTTCCCTATTATTATGATGCTTTAATCATGAGTTATTTGACAACCCTTTAGTGGGTTTTTCTCCCTATTATTATGATGCTTTAATCATGAGTAATTTGACAACGCTTTAGTGGGCTTTTTTCCCTATTATTATGATGCTTTAATCATGAGTAATTTGACAACGCTTTAGTGGTTTTTTTTCCCCTATTATTATGATGCTTTAATCATGAGTTATTTGACAACGCTTTAGTGGGATTTTTTTCCTATTATTATGATGCTTTAATCATGAGTTATTTGACAACGCTTTAGTAGTTTTTTTTATAATTATGATGCTTTAATCATGAGTTATTTGACAACGCTTTAGTGGGTTTTTGTTTCTATCATTGTGATGCTTTAATCGTGAGTTATTTGACAAAGCTTTAGTGGGTTTTTTTTTATCATTAAGATGCTTTAATCGTGAGTAATTTGACAACGCTTTAGTTGGGTTTTTTTTAAAATAATTATGATGCTTTAATCATGAGTTATTTGACAACGCTTTAGTAGTTTTTTTTTATAATTATGATGCTTTAATCATGAGTTATTTGACAACGCTTTAGTGGGTTTTTGTTTCTATCATTGTGATGCTTTAATCGTGAGTTATTTGACAAAGCTTTAGTGGGGTTTTTTTTATCATTAAGATGCTTTAATCGTGAGTAATTTGACAACGCTTTAGTTGGGTTTTTTTAAAAATAATTATGATGCTTTAATCATGAGTTATTTGACAACGCTTTAGTGGTTTTTTTTATGATGCTTTAATCATGAGTAATTTGACAACGCTTTAGTGAGCTTTTTCTTCTTCTATTGTTATGATGCTTTAATCATGAGTTATTTGACAACGCTTTAGCGGTTCTTTTGTTCTTCTTCCCGCAATGCTTTTCATGTTAGTAGTATTGTAATAGGGATCTTTTTGAACTTGTCGGTCCATGGGCAGATGATGCCGAATTCACCTGAAAGGATGGTGTGGGCAGCACTGTGCCCACCCAGCTTTACGTTATGTAACGTGATTTAGGTATCGGTCAGTACTAGGTAAACTCATGAGGAATGCACTTAAAACTTTCAATTCGGACTAATTATAAGGGGAAGGGGTGTGTGTGGAGACTGGCAGAAGGACATTTTATCTATATACATTTGATTTAGTTTGGTAGGGGGGTGTAGTAGTCATACGCTGTCATCCGACCACACTGTTCCACCAGTAGTATTAGGAAAAAGAAACATCTTGCGATACATGGTATTGAGACATCTTTAGCTAAGACAAAGATTGTTACTTACTGTATGAGGAAGACAGGTACAATGTTTTAGTGGCTATTTTTAAACGTCCCAGGGATTGGCTCAACCATGCATGCACACGATGTGGTCAAGGTGGGCTCCAGAGAGAGAAAAAAGTTTGCTGATGACCTTTACATATGCAGGTAAATGATTCAAATGTGTGTAAATAATCAGCATAACTTGTCTATAAAATAAGCAATTGTTGACAGCGACGTACTTCCTATGTATGAGAACATTGAAAACTATGTAGTCATGTCACTGTGATTTTATATGTTTTAATGAAACATCATGTATTAAGTAAACCCTAAAGGACAGTGTAAAGTGTTTTTATATGAAATTATTTGATAATGTTATTTGAACATTCTTCCAATAGACCCTGCGCCTCCCTCACACTGTTCACAAACACTTGGCCGTTAAAGGTCATATTTTCGCTGAACCGTTGTCTTTCAATGCGTCCGATATGTCAGTTCATCAGCCTAGAAGTGATATGTTGAATTGTATTATTAAAAGGCATACCTTTAAATTAAATAGAATATTTTCTGTTTATTTCTCATATTGTGATGAGTTTAAAAATTGAACATTTATCTTATCTTCCAAAAAATATTTCGTGAATTCGTATTTCTGTTATTTGTTTCCACTGTACAAATCATATTATTTTATTTCCAACAAAAATTGAGGTCTAGTTATCCATTTAAAGCACATCTTTAGTACTTACGTGTGTTATCATGGTCCTTTCCAATTTAGTTAATGCGTTTATTCCTCTAAATTCCTACATTCTGCTACCTGTTGTAATTTCTCTGGAGTTAAAATGTGACCAACAACTTTCCAGGTTGTCAGGTGGGTACTGTGATAGCGACATGGGCCACAGGTTACATGGCAGACGGCGACATACTTGGCGGCTGGCCGCTTGTCTTCTACGTCTTCGGTAGGAACTTTCTAAATTTCAATTCGTAATTACATAATTGCTCCGTGTCTTAGATTTAAAAAAAATACATTTAGAGTCTTTTATTAAGATAAGCTTCTTTAAAAAGTATAAACGAAGCAAAAAATTGCATAAAAACCGTTTTACTAATAAAGGAAAAATAATTTACTTTCTTTAATTTATACCAATACACTATTTAAATAACTGTAAAGAAAAGCGTGGGTCTCTATAATATGTAATGGATACCTTTACTAATATTTAGGAAGTGACCCACGCTTTTCTTTATAGTTATTTAAATTGCTTTTAAATAACAGTACTCCGTGTCTTAGTTAAACAATACATTTAGCATTTTTTATTAAGATAAGCTACTTTAAAAAGTGTATACAAAACAAAAAATAAAACAGAGAAGAAAATTAGATTGTAATATTTGTTACTGAGTATATTTACAAACATATATTTAAAACAAACGCTACATATTTGAAGATACTGATTAACATTATGCAATTCAATTTTATTCAATTTTTTGGGGGCTATTTATACTTGTAGATAACGTTTGGAAACCCCTGTAATTTTTATCTACTAACATTTTTATATCAGACAACTTTACAGATATGTTCATGTGTCTTTTAATTTTAGCGATAGTTCTATGTGTGTTTGAACTGTAGCAATATTCTCATGTTTTTTAACTCTAGGTATAGTTCCATGTTTTACCTGTAACAATAATATTCTCATGTGTTTCAACTGTGGCGATATTTTCAAGTGTGTTTAAACTGCAGCAATATTCTCATGTGTTTTAACTCTAATGATAGTTCCATGTTCTAATAATATTCTCAAGTGTTTCAACTGAGCAATATTCTCATGTGTTTTAACTCTAATGATAGTTCCATGTTCTAATAATATTCTCACGTGTTTCAACTGAGCAATATTCTTATGTGTTTTAACTCTCTAGGTGGCGCTGGTGTGCTCTGGTCCTTGAACTGGATATGTCTGATACACGACAGACCTGAGACACACCCCAGGATATCAAAGGAGGAGAAAGAATATATAGAGAAAAGTCGCCTCTCTTCAGCGCAATTGGTAACTATTTTACTATGACCATGTGTTTTCATCACAAACCGTAACTATGACCATGTGTGTTTAAAGTTACACATTCAAAATACTCTAAAAAAGAACTAGTGTTTTCTGAAACGTTCACAAATATAAATCATGAAACATGTGATATTTAAGTCTAGCGTCTTAATATACCCACGTTATCTATGGTTAATAGTCAGAGCGTGCAAAGTTTGCCTTTACTAAAGGACTGATCTATAACTTGTAATTACCCGCAGATACGACGTACACCCTCCCTCCCTCCAATGACTTATGTATATATTGTTAGACCAAATCCCTCACTGACGTACACTATCACAAAATGACACTTATATTTGTTTATTAAACCTAAGTAGACATACGACCTCACCAAATGACGTATCCATACTTTTTATTACTTCCCTCGTCCAGGTAAACGTACGCCCTCTCCCAGTGGCGTAGCTAGGGGAAGGTGGGTGGAGCGGCCGCACCGGGCACCGACCATAAAGTTACGAAAATAAACTACTAGAAGGCTTTTCACAATGATTTAACTGTTTTCTATACCGATTTTAGTGGCACCGAAATAGAAAATGTTACGCGAAAGTAAGCCGTAAGAAGCGCCACACCTTTCCATCACCTCTTGCTTTCTCACACACATGAATAAGTATTTATAGAACTGGAAGAAAGGGGTCAAAATTAATAGTTCGCCTCGGGCGCCAGAATGGGTCACTACGCCTCTGCCGTCGCCCTGCTTTTGAATACTACCTACGCCAAGGTGAACGTCCGCCCTCACCTAATGTCTAATGTATATTTTGTAAAACTTCACTCGCCAGGGTAAACGTCCGCCCTCACCAAATGTCTGATGTATACTTTGTAACACTCCCCTCGCCCAGGTAAACGTCCGCCCTCCCTGGTTGAAAGTCCTCCGGTCACCTGCCCTGCTGGCCATTGTGGCGGCTCACTTCGCCAACGACTGGGGTTGTTTCGCCTTGACCACCTGCCTCCCCAGCTATCTGCACCACATTCTCAAATTTAATCTCAGACAGGTAAGTGCAATTTATTTTACTAATTAAATATCAGACAAGTACGTACAATTTATTTTACTAATTAAATATCAGACAGGTACGTACAATTTATTTTACTAATTAAATATCAGACAGGTACGTACAATTTATTTTACTAATTAAATATCTGACAGGTACGTACAATTTATTTTACTCGATAAATTTCAAACATTTACGTGCAATTTATTTTACTAATTAAATCTCAGACAGGTACGCGCAACTATGTATTAATATTTCTTAGTTTAGTTTCTTACAGGTACGTGTAATGGATTATACTAATCCTTTTTTATAATTTAATCTCAGACATGTACGCACAATTTATTGTACTAATTCTTCTTATATTTATTATGTATGTCTACTAATCTAAATGTCAAAGTTTACAATACTGCACACACTGGGGTTTTAATATGAACTTTACGAGTTTTAGCGTGTACACAACGTTCTTTATGGTATGTTTGCGTGTCGTGATTATTATTGTCCAGTGTCATTGTCATCAGATACACAGCGTATAAAGCCCACGCACATATTGATCTCACATTTCTCTATATAATATGTTAGGGGTTTTCTTCTAAAATTAGAATCAATAAGGTATGCAGTTATTTATATAGATATTAGAGAAATTAGTAGTGAATTTATGAGCCTACCTTATTCATGATTTAAGCATTAACATCAACAAAAAATTTAACATTTGTGAACATTTTTCTGTTATGTACAGAAAAGGTTCGTGACATCTCATTAGCTTTAGATTTATTATTGAAGCATGTGTACACACATACGTACACGTGTTCACATTTTTTGTTGTGTACAGAACGGGTTCCTGTCGTCCCTGCCCTACCTAATTCTTGTCTTCACCAACCCTCTGTCTGGTTGTCTGGCTGACGGGCTGAGGGGAAGTGGAATGTTGAGCACAAAAAACACAAGGAAGCTGGTAAATTCTATAGGTAAGTCATTGGTCAATATCATAGGTAAGTAACTGGTCAATTCTATAGGTAAGTCATTGGTCAATTTTATAGGTGAGTCACTGGTCAGTTCTATAGGTAAGTCACTGGTCAATTCTATAGGTAAGTCATTGGTCAATTTTATAGGTAACTGGTCAATTCTATAGGTACGTCACTGGTCAATTTTATAGATAAGTAACTGGTCAATTTTATAGATAAGTAACTGGTCAATTTTATAGATAAGTAACTGGTCAATTTTATAGATAAGTAACTGGTCAATTTTATTGGTAAGTCACTGGTCAATTTTATAGATAAGTAACTGGTCAATTTTATAGATAAGTAACTGGTCAATTTTATAAAGAAGTAATTGATCACTTATATAGATAAGTAACTGGTCAACTCTATAGGTAAGAAAATGGTCAATTTTATAGATAAGTAACTGGTCAATGCTATAGGTAAGAAAACGGTCAATTCTATAAGTAAGAAACTGGTCAATTCTATAAGCTAGAAACTGATCAATACTATAGGTAAGCAACTGTTTCATTCTATAAGTGAGAAAATGGTCGATTCTATAGATAAGGAACTGGTCATGGGCAGAAATATGGACACCGGCACTGAAAATAAACTTAAAACCGTGTCAGCGCTATTAAAAAGCAACTATTTTAGGTTAAGTGGTCATGCACTGTAATCATAAAGAATTGTTATAGGTCCTCAACCAGAGCCAAAAGTTAAACATTAAGTAGTGCTAATACATTTAAAAAATCTAATCATCAGCTAGCGAAAGCACCAAATTAATAAACTAAAACGAAATGCTTAATGCTGGTTAGTGTTGATACATGGATTGTTCAGAATTTAAGGGACTATAATGTTCCTGTGTGTATGATCTTTTTCTGTTTATCCCAGCTATCCAAATATTATTGTGCGTCTCGTCCAGGATCTTTTTATCTTTGCTATCCTTCTATCCTCGTGCGTCTACTCTAGGCCTGTTTATCCCTCTATATAACATTTACCTGTATCTATTCTAAGCCTGTTTATCTTGCTATCCTAATATTGTTGTGTGTCTATCCTTGGCATGTTTATCTTTGCTATCCTAACATTGTTGTGTGTCTATTCTAGGCCTGTTTATCTTTGCTATCCTAATATTGTTATATGTCTATCCTATGCCTGTTTATCCAGACTATCCCAATATTATTATGCCTCTATTCCAGGCCTGTTTATCCCTGCTATCCTGATGTTGTGCGTGTGTTTTGTGGACACAGACCGTAACGTTATCGTGGCCCTGCTCACATTGGCTGTTGGTTTCAGTGGCTTCACGATGGCGGGCTACAGCGTCAACCATCTGGACATAGCACCATCCTTCGCAGGTTTGGTCAATGACTGTAGTAGTTGATTATACTTGAACTGTAGTGGTACTAAAAACTGATTTATTTCTAAGTCTGATAAAAATGTGTGTATTTATTAAAAAGTTCTCATACAATTGTTTTTTTTTTTCGCTGGATATCGCCCCATCCTTCGCAGGTTCGGTCGATGACTGTAGTTGTTGATTATACTTGAACTACAGTGACACTGAAAAGTAGTTTTATTTCTAAGTCTGATAAAATAGTGCATGGAGAGGGGTGGGTGCCGCCATTTGACAATTAGAACTAGACACACCACTGTTGTCTCAAATACCCAAACAAGGATTAAAGGGATGATTTACATTTTTTATAAAATAGTGTGCCTTTTTTTAAAGAGGTCTCATACAATTAATTTTTGCTTTTTTACAGCAAATATATCTTAAACATATTTTTACAAAAGCAATGAGTTTATGAAAGAAGCGAGGTAATCTAATTTACAAAAATTACTAAATACATAGTATAAATCAATGGCGCTTAACCAGTTGACACGTATACTTAATTGTCTTCGAGAGGATCCCTTTCAACACTAAAATCAAGAACGAAGAAGAGATCGTATACATTTTTAAAATGTATTCCATTAAAAAGAAATTTACAGTTTTTTGTTAATGACAATTTTTTCAACATTCTCTCTTTCTCTCTTACATGTTCTTAGAATATATCAATCATAATTAAATTAAGTTACAAAAGACCATTATAATATACAACATCAATAAAAGGAAAGCTTCTTTTTATTATCTAAATACATTTTGATCAAATGTTTTTCCATTCCACACTTTGATATTGTTTTACATAGTTTATTTATACTGTAATGCATTCCTTATACCATTAAGTATTGAGTTATTATATTAACTATTTGGAAATAATTAATCCGAAAACGTTAAATCCTTAAATCAGGTATACTTTTTGGTGTGACGAATACGATTGGCACAACCACTGGTTTCATAGGGCCAGCTATACTAGGGGCGTTAACCGATGGGCAGGTAAGAAAATAGGAGTTATTTTACTTGAAATATCCAACCCATGAAAAAGTTATAAAATTCATTATTGTTGCTATTAATTCATCTAGAACGTCAGCAATGATGTTCATACACTTAGTTTCAAATACAAACTTTATTGAGTTATATTTTATACGTAAAATAGTTTTTAAAACAGTTTAGGTTCCTGTTCATAATAAATATAGTCCTGTTTTGTATTTATTTATTTCTTCTGAAAAAAAATAATTCACGAAATATTGCCAACTGTCAAATAGTCAAAAATCAATTTTCGAACTATTTTATGTCTAAATGGTTAAAATTTTATTGAATAGAGTGATACAGTAAATTTTTTTATCTTTTCTTTGTAATGATACTTTTAAACCAATGTGAAGATGGCAAAATGTAGACACCTTACTATTTGTACTACGATCTACGGCAAATGTAATGCATAAATATAACACTCGATTATTTTAAAATACGATGTTATTATTTTTTGCGTTATATGTATTAAATGGAACGGAGTAGTCGAACAGTAGAGCATACGACTGCTAAATGGAAAGTTCCGAGTTCGAATCCGAGTTCAGGTGTAATGGCTACCTAATTCCTGTTAGGGAAAATAAAGGCGTCTGGGCATAGTGCTTACCACACTATCCCTTCATATGCCGAGGTCACAGATAGATTCACTAGCCCCCATGTACGAAAGGGAAGTTTACTACTTTACTTTTAGTATTCTCTCTGTATTCATAATAAACTTAACTAGTAATTTTATCTTTCAGAACAACAAACACCAGTGGATCATTTTTTTCTACATCACTTCCGGTATCTTCTTCTTCGGGGGCATCGTGTTTCTCTTCTTCGCCCAGGGGGAGCCTCAGAACTGGGGCGCGCCGCCCGTAGATCTCGTCTACCGACCAATCAACGATACTGAACAGCGCGTGCCAGCTGAAGTTCAAGGCGACTCGGAACCAGGTGACCCTGCCACAAAGGTCAAGGAGGACGAACTTGTCAATCACAACGAGCGTGAGTGGGAAGCGTTGATAGAGCACCGACATTCTCGCAGAACAGCGCCTGTGAGCTCCTTCTCTCATGTCCTCAAATCGTTTTGAAAATCCGTTAAATCTTCAAACACAGTTGGAAAACATGCCCTCATGTCGCTTTGATACATGGTTAAATCTTCTCACAAAGTCGGAAAACGTACCCTCAAATCGTTTTGAAAATCCTTAAATCTTCAAACAAAGTAGGAAAACATGTCCTTAAATTGATTTGAAAATGTGTTGAATCTTCTCACAAAGTTGGAAAACATGCCCTCAAATTTGTTTGTCCACAAATCGTTTTGATTTTTGTTTAAGTGCCTTAAAGGATATGAAAACAGTAAAATGACGAAAACAATAAATTGACGAAAACAGTAAAAAGATGAAAACAGTAAAATGACGAAAACAGTAAAATGACGAAAACAGTAAAATGACGAAAACAGTAAAATGACGAAAACAGTAAAATGACGAAAGCAGTAAAATGACGAAAGCAGTAAAATGACGAAAACAGTAAAAGGACGAAAACAGTAAAATGACTCGCCTAGATAAAAAAAATATGTGTTCAGTTTCAGTCTGACAACAGACTCAAGATAATGCTCTCAATGCTCTCAATGATAAGAACAATTTTACAGTTATATTAATTATAAAATTGTGTTGCTAATGTATCCTCTGCTATTTTTTTAATATTCAAAAAATAATTGTTTAAATTCATAAACATTAAAGAAAATGTCAACAACTATATGTTATATTGTTTTCGAAAATGACTTAGTTATTTTGTTATGTTGATAATAAACACTGAGTATATCTCTTTAAGGTAAACAACTTTGCCCTTTTGGGAAAAAGGAATCTTGCCTTTCCTATTGTATGTAATATATTGTTTATAAGTTACATTGTTTTAAAAATTATTGTGATATTATTAAAAGAAAATACTTGTGATACTGCTGTTCGTGCATGTGCAAAGGGAATTAACTTGTTATTTATGATTTCTTTTTCCTCGATAATTTTTGTTATTGATTAAAATGTAATACATAATTAAAACAGTGATAATATTCGTTGTCTTGGATAATTATGAATTTTTAAAAAATATGAATTTGTAGGTCGATGTGGATGTTTTATTGGACACACGTGAACTTACTTTGACCAAATCAAGTTGAGTCACAGAGCTTATAAGGACTGAATCTAAGCTTCTTCGCCAGTCTCTCTGTTTATCTCTCTCTCTCGCTCTCTCTCTCTCTCTCTCTCTCTCTCTCTCGCTCACTCTCTCTCTCTCTCGCTCTCATTGGACCCATGTAATCCCCACAGCACTTGTGTAGCTGTCATCATTCATTCTTTATAATTTTCTAGACCAACTCACTTTTCTTTGCCTATGTGGGTTCCAGTCCAACGCTAGCTTCACGATGTTTTCATGTTGTTTTTATCAGGGCATTCCCTCTTTATTTGCGGGTTTTAATGTCTATCTTCGGACTACTGCCTCCAGAAAAAGTATCCTTTAAAATGTTAATTTTCATCTGTATAGTCTCAAACCCACCAAAAACTAAAAGTCCTATAGCTAATTTTCATCGTGAATTTATTCAATCCTAGTCTAAGGATTTGGTAAGAGAAGATCAGGTATATTTTTAAATGTCATACGATTTCAAAATCAAAATTAAGTTTTATATTAAAGCTTTAGAATATGGTTTAATACAGATTTTAATTTTGTTGCGATTAGATCTACATTTTAGTGTTATACTTAATCCAACGTTATTCCATACTGCTTGTTATATAGACAAATAAAACTTTACTCCTGACGTTTAAGTGTTAAAATTAACATGGTTATTTTCTCGTTGTATTTGTCTTAGGTTTTGTATGTATTATAGAAGATAGGATGAATAGTGTTTTTAACACGTGAGTTAGAATGTTAATATTTACTGATGGAAAGCGTGTCTGACGCTTCCCTTAACATAGCAATGAAGTCACTGCTCTTTGTAAAATGTAGTACTAGTACATATACGCGATATTTATTTGTCTATATTCCGTTTATTATTATTTTGCAGTACGGAAGTTAAGAATAATTGTGAGTTATAACGTTTGCTAAATTACAATCTACCACTGATTAAGGTTAATGTCTACATCAACCAGAATGTGATAATAGCAATGTTTTTTTTTTATTTTTACAGCGTGATTTAAATTTAATTCAAAGGAAAACTATAAACACCTTACTAATCGCGTGTTTTAAGTACTTGAATTAGATCGATCGCTTGCTGATGCGAAATAAACTTGGATTTGGAAAGCTGATAGCTCTGATGATGTAAACAACAGGAGTAAAACCAGACTCTCAGCAATGAAATATTAAAGTGCTATAAAATCTGACCGTTCTATTTTACATATTTAATGTAATTTTTTGGATAAAAGGTATTTAAAAAAACTGGAAATATAGTAAAAAACAAAGTCCGGATATTGGAGGTCACTTGAGATTTAAGAGTCGACCAAGTATAAAATCTTTTACCTATAAATGAGATTTAGTCAGCTGAAAATGTACTCAAGAGTATAGTGCCACTCTCGGGAATGGGAAATCGTTCAAGAGTTGAGGCAAATCTTTACATGTAATTCAGTATTTAGAATTGTTTTCACCTTAATTAAATAGGACTTAAGTTACTGGCTTTGAGAAAACGTAAATAGAGTAAGTAGAACTTCTAGTTATCGTAAATCGCTGAAAAGTTGCCAGAAAAATACAACTTTGATATTATTCAAGTTTTATGAAATGTTAACCTAACTGAAACTTTACACAAGTTATCATGTTTACACACACACAGGGAAGATTTGCAAAAACTAAGTTTTTCCGTTGCTCCGAGAGGTTGTGAAAACTCAACAATTAATTCCGTACAAAGTAGAGAGGTGGAAAACTGTAAAAACTGTCACAATTACATTTAATTTTGTGCCAGATTGCAGTACTTTAACTCTACTGTGTATATGAGTACATAAAAGCATAAACCCTTCTTAGAATCTAAGAGAAATCTTGCTAAAATAAATAGGTTTCATATCTGTTTAATCGTGAAGTAAAACAAAATGGCTGGTTGGTCAGTACTTTGATAGAGTGTTTTTATCCCTGGCGTAAGGCCTATATGTTGAGCTCTAACGTGAATCCTAGTCTCGACACTTTAGGGAGTTTGTATGTTTGCAGTTTACAGTTATTATAAGGTATACCTTCGCTCAACCTAATATAAAAAAGTCTGTGCACGCACTTCTCGAAATAACTCTGCTTGTCTCTGTAACTCTCTCTAGTAAATCAGTAGCTTTAGTAATATGTGTAAAACTTAAAAAGATGCGTTCTTTTGTTGAAAAAAAATAGCTGATTGTACTAAACATCTTTATAGTACTAAAACTCAACTTTGTTTACATGTTTGAATATTTATTTGTTTGTCTGATTTGCTACTGGAGAGAATCTGCCATATGTGTAGAGCTGTAAAATAGTATGTAGGTAGAGAACAATTTTTGTTTCCATACAGACTGTTAACCACAAATATATTTAAAGACATTAATTAATTTATTGATTTATTCATTGGTAGATTAACCACATTAACTTTAAAAGTTTCAAACAGTGGCTGTACTTTGACTGAATAGTGACGTCACATGATTTGTTTACTTTTTACATCAACAATGGCGGCTTCTATCGAAGAAGATTGTGTTCCCATTCCGACGTTTAAAGCGTTCTAAAGCTAACTTTCTGTCGGCTATAAATTTAACAATACGTCCGTTTGCAGTATTTATTACGTTCCAACGCCTATGTCAATTTTCAACTGTCTTTTTCAATTAGTTTTACAAAACATTTCTCTAGATCTACAGATCAGCTGTCGAAGAAGAAAATTTTTTTAATCTAGATCTATAATCTAAATCTAGATTCTAGATCTAAATCTAGGTCACTAGACTTAAATTCTAGATCTAAAATCTACATCTAATCTAGATCCATATTTAACGTAAATTCTACATCTAGAATCTAGAACTAGAATAATAATATACTACACTATTTCAGGCCTTAGTTATTTTATATAAATCTTTGTTTATCTATGCAATTGGGTAATTTAAGATAAAATTTAATTTGAAATAATTCTAGATCTAATTATAGGGCTAATTCGCGTAGATTCTTACGCCACTTAGAAGTAAAATATATAAGTTATTAATTCTCATGAGTACGAGCCTAGATAGCTAAGAGGTTAGCACATTAGGTTACCATGCGGCTGGCATGAGGTCTAGACATGTCAGTGTTTTTTTTTTTAATTTTTTTTTTTAGTTGTGAATGATAATGTTGCTTTGCCTATTGGAACTTAGCGGGATACAGGGCAGGTGAAGTAGAGTTCACATGCTTATTCGTCCTCAGTATATAACGTGGATAGGGTCGTCAGAGCCATGCTCGGTCGAAATTATTTTTTTAAAGATAGAAAATGTTGTCTGAGACTTGGCGGAACACTGTACAGGTGAAGAAGTGTTGGGTATGTGTAAAGTTCAACGGTGACGACAGCATATGAGGAGATAGTGTGGTCAGACCCACGCTCAGCCAAAATATGTGTTTTCACAGATAAAAACATGTCTGAGTTGGGAGGACACTGGGCAGGTGAAGTAGAGATAACGTGTTTTTGTGACCACAGCATATGAAAAGATTATGTTGTCAGAACCATGCTCAGACGAAGTCAGTGTTTTTAAAAGACAAAAACGTCTGAGGTGTGACGCCTTTTAAATGTGGGGTCTGGTTATTTTGTAATGATTAGTGACAGATGTGATGTCATTTATGGATGACCCCCGAAACCCACAGTTATCTAACTAGATAACGGGTAGTCTAGTATAGACTAAATGCTAAATAAAGACGAAAATTTAAAAAAACGAAAGGCATTTTCGAATTCAGAAGCACGTCTTTAATTAAGCAACCGAAAAATGTATGTATTTTTTAACAAGAACACACTAGAGAAAATATAGGTCACAAAAATAACTATCACAGGAAAAGAGAATGACGTCAAAAGAGAATGACGTCACATGACACGAATAGGAAAAAGATTATAATGAAACAAAGTTAATAATATACAGTTTAAACTACACAAAATACACGAAACAAAGGTCGCCATGGATTGTATGATAAAAAGAATAGAATTCAAAATCGAATGTCGAAAATAATACACAATACTAATAAAGCCATTAATAATAGAGTCACAAAATTAAACGCCTTCATTATGTGTCTAATATTAGAACTATAGATTGATAAATACCGTTAATGTAAAATATCTAGTTTGGGCTAGGTATAAGGTGATTGTTATTGTTAGGGTTTTATTTCCAGTTAAAGTTTCGGATGATGTAAAAATGCAGCTTCCTATTTTGGTAAAAATTCTGTTATATTTTTAATTTTAATTTCAATTTCAAACGATGGTTTCGGATAGAGTTCAATTCTCGGTTTAATTTCGTTTCCGGTTAAATTTTAGTTCCAGAAAAAAAAATCCATTTCCGGTTCTAGGTTTAGGTTAAGAATTAGGTTGATGTGTAGATATTGGTTTTAGTCAAAAGAAAAAAAAATAACTTGATATTTTGTCAGAAAATATTCATTTCTAGTCATTTAGCTTTTACTTTGTTGTGTCACAATTGCGTTTGACCAAAAAAGTATTTGTTAAGCAAGTATAGAATAAGCAGTCGTAAGTGCTATCGTCCGGACAATGTAATTCACAAAAAAATATACTGTAAAAAAGCGGGAGTGATTTCCCCGAAACTCTCTCGAATATTCT